GAAAAGGGCGACGGACGCTTGCGTCCTAGCCTCCAACAACGCCTCCCCGACGCAGAGGGGCCCCCGGAGGGATGCTGCGACGGTGTATCATTCACTTTATGCCACCGTTGCATATCCGGATATGCAACGGTGGCATAAGGCGACTGATACACCGTCGCAGGGGGGAGGGGCAAACGAGGGAGAGAGCGAGTCGCACGGGGAGACGCGCCCTAGGGTGCGCCGCGGTTGCTCGTGCGGTGAGCACAGACTGCAGATAGTTCAGGACGGCTCCACCGTTCTTGTGCGCGCGCTGGTACAAAAAAGTAATATATCTTTACTTTTCCAACACCCGGACGTTCCCAGGCGCCAGGGTGATGGAAGGTTCGAGACGCACCCCCGGACTGGGCGGAGAGATCCCAGGGTATAGACTCTGGGCTGTTGACTACACAGGATAGCGTGCCCCGACAAACGGCGACACATGGCGGGGGACACTGCGCCGGGGTGTATGCCTAACTTTGGTGCTTTGTGTGGGTCGCGTTCCCTTGGTAGCTGTGTGGCTGAAGCCCTCGTGCCGCCGGCGTACGTCCACCCCCCCTTCGGAGGTGGTTCCCCCAGCGGCTGGCCCCTCGGGACTGTTGGTGCTTGGCGGGAGGAGGGGGAGAGGGAAGCCCGGTGGGAGGAGAGGGAGAGGGAGGCCCGGTGGGAGGAGAGGGAGAGGGAGGCCCGGTGGGAGGGGAGGGAGAGGGAGGCCGCCTTGGGCTCTTCTCCTCTTCCCTCCCTGGGCTCTTCGCCTCTCCCCTCCCTGGGCTCTTCTCCCCTCTCCTCCCTGGTACTCTCGGCCTGGTTACCGGAGCGTCTGCTCTCAAGCAGACGCTGGGGGGAAACTCTCGCCCGGAGGCGGATGGGGATGGGGGGGCGCCGCGCCGCCGCCGCCGTGCCGCCTTCTCCCGCTTTGATCTCCCTCAGCTGCTTCTCCTCCTCAACTCAACCTGTGAGCTTGCGAGGGCGGCGGGGGTGGGAGTGCTCTCGGGCGGCGTGTGCGAGTGTGCGCGCGCTGGTACAAGGAGCAAGCACTGGCAGCCCTGGGTGGCCCTCTCCAGTTTTCACGTACGTCCACGCGGGGTCAGGCGCGGCGACGCCGGCGTACATCTTACAGGGGTTGGGGTGAAAGCTACGCGCGTGCGCAGTGCGACTGCGTGCTTAGGGGGTAGACAGGCCCCAGAATCCACCAGTGTGGGAAGTGGGATTTCGCGCAATCGCTTGACTCTGAATAAAGCTCGCAATGTACCTGGAGCCGGTCCTCGCGAGCGGCGCCGTCGCCCCCCTCGACGCGCAGTGGATC